AATTCCAGGGGGAACCCCCAGGATCCGATGACCCCGACGCGCCCGCCGGCCAATCCCGCCCCAAGGCCGTGAGTCTTCCCGGGAATCTCCCTTCTCTCCCAGAGCTTTTCCTGGTTGTTCCCGCCCCCAAAACGGACTTTTTTTGCCCCCCAAAAAGACCATGAACGACTTCGATTACCTGAAGCTGCTGGGAAAAGGCACCTTTGGGAAGGTGATCCTGGTGCGGGAGAAGGCCTCGGGCCGTCACTACGCCATGAAGATCCTGCGCAAGGACGTCGTCATCGCCAAGGTGGGAACGGGGGGGGACTGGGGGGGATTCTGGGGGCTCTTTTGGGCTCGGATTTGGGAATTCGGGGGTTGGGAAAGGGGAGAGGGGGCGTTCCCAGCCCGGAATTCCGGGATAAATCCCCCTTTTTTATCTCCAGGACGAGGTGGCCCACACGGTGACCGAGAGCCGGGTCCTGCAGAACACGCGGCATCCCTTCCTCACCGTGCGTTCCCTGGGGGGAAATCTGGGAATGCCCGGGAATCCCCGGGAATCCCCAGCCCTGGGGGGCCCCTCCCCTGGAATTCCCATCCCAAAATTCCCCCCTTTTCCCACCCCTGGCAGGCCCTAAAATACGCCTTCCAGACCCACGACCGGCTCTGCTTCGTCATGGAGTACGCCAACGGAGGAGAGGTGGGATGGGGGCCAAAATCCGTGGATTTGGGGGGGCTCAATCCATGGATTTGGGGGTCAGAATCCCTGGATTTGGGGGGGCCTGAATCCCTGAGTTTGGGGGGCTCAATCCCTGGATTTGAGGGGAGTTTTATCCCCCTTCCCTCACATTTTCCTGGATCTGGGGGGAGTTTCAGCCCCCTAAACACTGAGTTTTCCCTGGATCCGGGGCCGTTTCCTCCCCCAACCCCCAGATTTTCCTTGGATTCCCCATCCCCTCCCCTTCCCACCACTCCCAATGCCCTTTTCCTTGGATTTTTCCCAGATTTTCCCCTGATTTTCCTCTGATTTTTCCCAGATTTTCCCCTGATTTTCCCCTGATTTTCCCCTGATTTTCTCCTGATTTCCCCCTGATTTTTTCCTGGATTTCCCCTGATTTTCCCCTGCTCTCCCCTGATTTCCCCTGATTTTCCCCTGATTTTTCCCTGATTTTCCCCTGATTTTTCCCTGGATTTCCCCTGATTTTCCCCTGATTTTCCCCTGCTTTCCCCTGCTTTCCCCTGCTTTTTCCCTGGATTTCCCCTGATTTTCCCCTGATTTTCCCCTGATTTTTTCCTGGATTTCCCCTGATTTTCCCCTGCTCTCCCCTGATTTTCCCCTGATTTTCCCTGTTTTCCCCCTGCTCTCCCCTGCTCTCCCCTGATTTTCCCCCTGCTCCCCCCTGATTTCCCCTGCTCTCCCCCTTCCCAGCTGTTTTTCCACCTGTCCCGGGAGCGGGTGTTCTCCGAGGACCGCGCCCGTTTCTACGGAGCCGAGATCGTGTCGGCCCTGGAATATTTGCATTCCCGGGACGTCGTTTACCGGGACATCAAGGTGACCTCCCGGCCCTTCCCGGGATTCTGGGGGCATTCCCGGGATTCTGGGGGTCGTTCCCTGGATTTTGGGGGTCGTTCCCTGGATTTTTGGGGTTCATTCCCTGGATTTTGGGGTCATTCCCTTGATTTATTCCCTCAATTTTGGGGATCGTTCCCTGGATTTTTGGGGTTCATTCCCTTGATTTATTCCCTCAATTTTGGGGTTCATTCCCTGGATTTTTGGGGTTCATTCCCTGGATTTTGGGGTCATTCCCTTGATTTATTCCCTGGATTTTGGGGCTCATTCCCTGGATTTTGGGGTCTCACTCCTTGGATTTTGGGTGTTCATTCCCTGGGTTCTGGGGCTCATTCCCTGGATTTTGGGGTCTCATTCCCTGGATTTTGGGGTCTCACTCCCTGGATTTTGGGGTCTCACTCCCTGGATTTTGGGGTCTCACTCCCTGGATTTTGGGTGTTCATTCCCTGGATTCTGGGGTCTCACTCCCTGGATTTTGGGGTCTCACTCCCTGGATTTCGGGGTCTCACTCCCTGGATTCTGGGGTCTCACTCCCTGGATTTTGGGTGTTC